CTCCTAGATGCTGGAGCTGATCTGTCCGTAAACCTGAAAAACCGGTTTGATACGAGTCTGTTGCACGCAGCTGCGAAGGGAGGTGATGTGGAAATCATTAAGACAATGCTTTCCCGTGGTTTAGATGCAAACTCAAAAGACAGTGATGGTCGAACGCCGTTAATGATTGCAGAACTCAACGGTAAAACTGAGGCAGTAGCATTCTTACTCAGTAAGGAAGGACTTTAATGCCGTTCCTTGCAAAACAGAAAGACAGCCACCGCAGACCTCGTACACTCATAAGCATTCCTAAGTCTCTTTTGGCAAACATAATTACATGTACGTATAATGCACGATCTTCGCAATTACATGTATTACTAAAAAGCTTTAGGAATTAAGTTTATTTATTACGTTGTTACTTTACATTTCATTGAAAGGAGCCATCATAGGATCTTTCGTTTAAGCTCAAAAACTTAACCATCTGAATGCCCTGGGAAACTGAATAACATTATGATCACAGTTATGTCTTACTGTGGCCACACTCTAACCATATTCCCATATTTTATATGCGTATGTTTTGATTCGAGTGCGAGTAATTTCGGAAACAATTCTGTACTCAGATTTGTTTTGTTTTATTATCTTTTGAATGAGAGTCCCTTTTTAAAATATGACACACAAAAAAAATAAAGAAAGAAAGAAAAAAAAGATTTCAAAGTTTTTCTTAGAGAGTCGGAGTCATATCTTGTTGTGGCCAGAGTGCTAAGTAGAATTATCTTTATGAGTTTCAATTTTTTTCCTTCTTTTTCGCTTATTACGCATCAGTCTCTGAAGAAGTAAACCGTTTCGTAGTTAAAAGTCAGTGCTCAAAACTAAATTTTTGAAATGGTTTTCCTGGAACAAGTAGTAGGAAATTTTCAGTAGTCCTGGAAGGAATGTAACTGGTCGCATCTATTGTTTTGATTCATTCATTCGGAAGAATACAGTTACATCTATCTCCCAGGGAAAATGATGGACCTGAAAATGTTAGTACCATAATATCTATCTACAGTAATATAAATAGTTTTGAAATAAGGGATAACTAGAAAAAAAAACGGAAGCAGCCGTGATGTCAAGTAATTTCCCGCCATGCTATCTACTGCGCCCTGCTATCTACTGCGCATGCTAGAAAGTGTTTGCTCAAACCAGTGCCTCTCCATTTTCACAATGGTGTCACGGCATGGCTCTTTGCACATTTGTAAATAAATACAAAGCGCCCATTTAATGGTTGTTCTTATTGACTTAAAATTCGTAAAATACAAACCAGATGAAAACAGGAAACAGCATACTCGTCCAAAAGTAAGAGTGATTGTAATTCTCACTCGTCCCGTGGTACATTTTACTCGTTTTTGACGAGTGAACGACGGTTAGCTTCGAGCGCTGTAAAAGAAGCACCTCTCTTAAGGTATTTTTTCGATAAAACTTGAGGTCTTAGTGAAAGTTAAAAAGCTTAGAATCGGGTGTATCAAATGAACAGTCATAGTCTAGCTGTGTGTAAGTCTACGGTAGCTTAACTTGCTTGCGATAGGTTTTGAGCGTTGCTGAAAGGGACTGGGTCGAGGTTATAAACATATTGGTAGACTCAATGTTAAATGAATATCTTTATTTTATTTGCTTCGTTCACCTTTATTCTTTCTAATTTGATTTGTGTTGTACAAAGTTTGCTAATGTAAATTCATAGGCCCTATGTATATACAATTAAGAAATTGCTCGGACACTAAAGCAGATATCTGCATGTCTTTTCTTAATTGTCCTGCAGTAATCTAAAAACAAACGATCATTCAATAAAGATCGCTGGTTTAAAAGTTTAGTGATCGTGGCATTATTTCATGAATGAGTCGTTGAACGTTTTTATAACATGAACCAGGGCGACACCTTAATTCCAATGAAATCTGTTGTGAAACATCAAATCCTTTATACGATAGTAATTTTCCCCTACATTATTTTTATGGACCGGTATCTCCTCAGCATCGCGCAAGGGGTTTCTCTTTAATTTCGAGTCAAAAGTCACATCCCTATTACTAGCGTAAGAGCTGTAGTGAGCAAGTTTCTCGGAGAGTGTGTAGTAAAGCTTGTTTGTAAAAAAAAGGAACAAAAAACTGAGAGAGCACAGCTTCGATCATTCCGCTTTTAACAGTAAGACAACCGCCTATATTAAGACATGCACTCCAAATGATAAAGGCTATTAAACCCTCTTGATACATGCATATGGCTACAGTAGATGGATTCGTAGTCATAATGACGGTGACCTTGTTGGAACTCAAGCCGGGATCGGTTGACATGCATATCATGCAGGTATGTGATAAACATAGCACGCTCAANGAATAAATGGAGGTCCCGTCTCCTGCAGGGTTGGGGTAGGAGACGTTAATTTGCCACACACGAGATTACTGTGTGATGGATGTCCTCCCCTGGGGTGGGATGGGTGGGAAGGTGAGATCGATAGACTGAAGCGGCTGCCAGAGGCGCCTGATATACCGACGTCTGTTCTCAACCTTGCACGGCGCCCGTAATTCGGCCTCTGGGCTGCAAGTGGTCAGATATAAACTATATTCGTATTAAAATTTTTACAACATAAATAGAAGCAGTGAAAGGATGCAATTATGTTCAAAACAAAAAGGGTTAAGGACCTCGTTTAAAAGAACGATGCACGCTCACTAATTTTCAAAATTCGAATACGCCATGCTCTCTTAAATGCAGTAGCATTGAGTTTATGATCACTAATATGCTACGCATTGAAACGAGATGGACATCTCACGTACACTTGCGGCTGTTTTGGTTTCAAAAATCAGAACTGTCGCCTGCACTTCACCTGAAATGCGAATAATCTCATTGAGCGATTAAATGAAGTGAGTCCAAGATGTAAGGGAAAAATATCTTAGTACTGTCTCTTTTTCAGATACCAATTCACTATACAGAATCTGCACACTCTACCGGTTAATTCAAATTTGCTGGGTTAAACGCCTCTCTTCGAGTCTTCTGACTAATTTATGAAAAATTAACCATTAAATTATCAATTAAGTTCACATTTCACACATGTGGCTCAGCTGTGATAAAGTGATATTGAGCCACTTTATTTTCAAGAGACGAGCAAACCATGTTCAGTCGCTTTACACTGGCAAGTGTAGTTCCGTGAACTAATGATAACTCAACGAGGCTTGATAAGGGACAGTTTTCGTGGGTGTAGGAATTCCGACCAAAAATGATTTATTTCTTGTTGTTATATGTGATCATAGGCAAGTATAAATTACCGAAGAAAAACACGGCTTAAAATTCGACTGAATGAAAGGCACGAGTCGCTGTGAGTACCGTGACATTTATAATGAAAACTCTTTATTTTATGAAGCACGTTCAAAGTTACGTGACCCTGAGTTAGGACGAGAAGCTTTGAAAGATAATCTGTTCACCTTGCTTAAAATCTCTCAAGCGTAAGCGAGTAGGAAAACAAATTGGTAGAGCGTAGTGTGAGTTTACCATGTCACACCGACCAACAAATTATTTATACTCCGCCCAATTGGAGAGGAAATTTTGTGGGAACTTGACGACCAGAAACAATTAAAAAGGCTAGTTCTACGGAGAAACAGATGCAGTTAATCAAGGTTCTCAAGATCAGATTTAGACAAGAATATCTACAATTATAAGTAATTATATTCATGTTGACTGAGAGTCAGGTCAACTTTAATAATATACGACCGTGCCGATGGAGAATTCTTGAACAACGCAGAAACACGTAACACGTGTGACGTGGTAGCAAAAAGAGGCAGAAAATGTTTTAATGGTTTTTAAGTACGTGCCTAAGAGGTTTCCGCCGGCTAATTCCTAGTGAGACAGGTTACAGCGGGTTGGGGTCGTTCATAAATTCAACTTCTGTGCGTTTTTCTGTTTATTTGAGTGGACATGGTTTGTATAGTAGGTTTCACAGTAGCCAACGCCATCTTGAAAGTAGGGCTAGAATTCTCGGAGGGACTGGCACTAGTAGGGCAAAGCAATCGTATCGTAATAAAATGTGTCAACTTTAAAGTAAAGTCTGTTTAGGAGCCTAGTGGCCCATTTGGCCGGTGCTTAACTCCGGTTTCTGTAGCATGAAGCGACTAGGAGTATTTCTACTCCGCCCTGGATGGGATGCTAGTCCATCGCAGGGTTACCCGCAGCATTAAATTTGCCGGTACCCATTAATACACCTGGGTGAAGAGTACTTTTACTGTGAGAGTAAAGTGTCTTGCCTAAGAACACAACACAATGTCCCGGCCGGGATTTGGTCAACTTTGGCTGCGATTTTCTTTGACAGAAAGTTTTCTCTTTTATAATGAAATGCAACGGAAGACGAAAAATATCGGTTTGAGGATTTTCTGACAATGACATTAAGCTCTCTTCAAGATTATTCAGGGCTTCGAGGGCTTTCAAAGTCAGGTCGTAAAGCTGAACTCGTTGCTCGAGCCCTTGCATTGGTGCGTACGAGTTGAATGTACCGATCAAATTCACACAAGAAAAAATATCCGAAGACCTAAAGAAAGAATACCAACGTCGCCTTCTAACAGTTTGAGTATTTCAACATAAATAAAATTAAAATTAGAACGGAAAGCAATCAAGGGTATTGAACACAAACGTATTCATGCAAAAAAATTATAGATTGATTGATAATATCAGAAACTCAAGAGTGGATTGCAGTGTGTTAAGATGTTCCATGCTCTGAAATATTCAAACTAATTATCACAATTTTCATACCACATTTCTCAGGCAGCAGTTTTCAGGAAAAATAGCTATTTTGAATATTTCCAGAGCAAAGAACCAAAAAAATCAGCCCTTACACATTTCATCCACTTATGAGTTTATGATAATATATAGCAAAGATTTCCAAGTCTATTAACCATATTGCTTAGAGGTCTTGGAATAACCTGTTACCTCTTGGCTATGTCAGTGGTATTTGAAATAGGTATACACTTATTTATAATAATCGATGAACATGATAGTAATGGTTTATAAAGAAAAAGACATCAACTCTCATACTTCAACATTTTTGCATACATACATATCTGTTTAATTTTTTTAACACAATAAGTGGTCCCTGTAAGTTTCTTAATGCAGCACAAACAACAAGAATGTCATCAGTAACGGAATCACTGATAGCGGCATTTCTTCCTTGAGAATTCTGAATACTTTTATTCTTCTAATTGCCCTCTCTACATCGATTCGGAAATTGGCTATCTGCGATGTTAGTCGGACGTCTGCTGCACACATTTGCATAGAAGCTGCTGAGCTTGGAGGAATTGCGAGATTTGCACCTATGGTGAGTAACTCCTCTCTTATTTTAAAGCCCCTGTCAGCTAACACTAAATCATGTCGCTCGATGCAGTTCAAAAAACCACTGTCTCTAACAATGTGAATGTCACTTGCTCTCCCACCATAAATAGGCGAAACACATGACACTGCTCCCCAGGGAGTTATTGCAACCAAAAATTTAAGGGTGTGGTGGTGCTTATATTCAGACTATAATGTTGCTGCTACATCAAGAGCTGTTGGTGTCTCAGTGAAAACCTCACTGCAGTCAACAATAACTCTACACTTGGGATACATTTTCTTGAAACTTGAGCTTTTGTAGGCCATACAATCAATACTCCTAATTCTCTAGCCAAGAACTTTATCCTGGTCGTGAATATCGATAAAACCTGTGATCTTGTTACATCAAACCTGAAGGCTAAATCGTCAACTGAAAGCGCTATCCTGATCCTCATAAGTACTAAAAAAAAAGTCTTGATCAAGAGAAAGACTTCTGAGGGGGGGGGGGTCCTTTTCGATCGCTAAAGTCCACACCAGGTACTCGATTGTCGGATGTTGTTTGCAATGTCAATCGTTCTCCACGCCAATATTGTAGATGCTTCGCCTTTGACACAATGTAATTGAACAGCAAGTGAATTCTTTTAGAGCTTGGTAGTCTTGTAAAATGTTTGACGTTTATTTCCTTGCCTAAATAGCTGAATAGCAATCCTCTATTCAAACTTATCTGTGTAGCTTTGTCTTGTGAGACTTCCAAAGATGGTGGACTACATGTAGTTGACTCAGTCCGTAGATCAGTTCTCTTCAACCTCGCTGTTTTTCTCGGAGACTGATCATTCAAATCTCTCTGACACAGAAATAGGGTTGGAAAGCTGTGTTCAGGCATTGGTTTTCCATCTAC